ATGTGTAGAGGAGTGTATTTACTTGAGAAGTGCTGTCTTGCATGCTGAGTCATGTCGTGGTCGAGATAAACATAATTGAACCGCTTAGCTTTATTTTAGCATAGCAATACAGGTGTGGAGTCGTGCCGTGTCTAGTTGCGATCTGGTGAAGAGAGGGTCCGCACGCAGAAGCGGCGGGCGAAGTCCAGGGTCACCGGCGGCGTCGTCGATGACGATGGCGGCGGAGGCGGTGATGCTGATTTCCCTACATTTTCGATGTGGTTAAAGGCATTTCACTATGCAGGACTTCGTTCATCTATAGTTCCTGTGATGTATTATTTTTATACGCTATCATTGAAATACTGTATGACATACTTCAATTAAAATTAGTAAATTATATTGGGCATGATGGACAACTACACTTTAGCATACGCGTTATGTCTTACCCTGGTTTTCATTCTTTTCAACTGAACTATGTCTCGAGCTCTTGTCCAGGTCCATGTTTATTTTATATCAGGCTGAATGCCTTTTTACAAGGTTTCAGTTTACTCATAGTCTTCCGGTAGTTACTGCTTGCTTGTAATAAAAGATGTAATGGTAAACACATGTGATGGTCAACACGTTTCGCCTTCGGGGCCGTATAGTTTTGTTTTAATTCAGTGATAAAACTAAAATATGTTACTTTAAACCGAAGGTTAGGAACTCCTTCATTTTCTAGGAGCACATCATTTATCGATTTAGAATAATAGTCCCCAACAACTGTGATGCAATTCCGCAACTCGTGCACTAGTCTCTGCATGCCGTCTTTGGAGGATGAGGGTGGCGGTTGACGAGACCGAAGCCACGCTCAAGTAGCTGCAGCTCCAAGATGTTTTGCCCCACCTACCTTACAGGCTGGATCTCGCATAATGGAACCTCTGGCTGCTTCCTAAGATAAAGGAGCATCTGTAAAGTACGCGCTTGGCGCCTGACGAGGAGATCAATCATGCAGTGTGCCCTTGGTGTCGTCAACAGTCACCCTCATTCTACGACGCCACGCTGAGAATAGTGCACCGGGGGTGGAAGCGTCTCGTCGTTGGGTCAGATTTTATCGAAAAGTAATATCCTCCCAGGAAAGAGGATATTCCTACCTTTTATTTGAATGTAATGCATTTTAATTTTACCACCGAACAAAGAAAGTAACAGCACAGGAAGCAAAACTTAAGGAACACTCCTCTTAGAATACTGAATTTTAAATTAAAGCAACGGTAAATCAAAGACATGGGTTTGAACGAGAAAGGTCGTGCGACATCGGCTGTTCATCAGGAAGATTGGACATCAGGAAGCAGGACAGCTAAAAAAATATGACGCCGAAATGAAGAGGGTGGGGTAGAACAGGATCTTTTCAGTACAAACCACCGGTTCGATTTCTACCTTACACTTGATTCTTTCGATGACATTTTATTTTTCAGGTACCTTCGTTGAGCAATAAACAAAAAGAACCCGTAAAAACGAACTGTTGTGTCACTGTCATCTATTTTTAAAATGTATTATAGGGGACACTCTTTTGACACCGCACTTGAGTGCATTATCTCAGAATGAGCCAGCGTTTATGCCTCATCACAGCCTCATTTATTCTAGAAAGCCCCTCCAATCGCAAAGAACGTGAAGGAGATCAAAGAAGGGCACGGGCTCTTTCTGGCAGCGCCAAACGAAGCCCCAGCGGTAAAAACCGGAACACGAACGCGCTCCTTTTTTTTTTTTTTTTCAGTAAAGGGGAACCTTTTGCGTCGACCCTCCTCAATTCCGCCCTCCTCCCGTTTCTCCACGCGCCGGTAGCCCCTCTTCTTTTTGCTCCGTTGAGGTTTGTTGTTATTTTTCGGGGAGGCCTCCGCGCGTATTTTTAGGGTAGACTGAAGGGTTATCCCATAAGTGGCTCTGCGCTACCATATGGGTAACCATTTGGCGCTGCTCCTCGCCTTTTTTCAGCGGGCGCGCGCTCAGTGGCTATGTCGTGGAAATGACAGGCTTTCTAGAATATACCAAGCTATGGCCTCGTTTACACTGGCGGTTGAAATAAATCCGCGAGACGGTTACGAACGCGGGTGCTCATCTAACAAAAACGAGCGGATCCGCCTCGCGGATGCTATTCGAACGCATATGTAAATGTTGCATTACACTCTAAAAAAAAGGGAGGAGAAATGGAGGAAAAAGCGATGTTCCTCCCTGTCACCTACAAAAGGGAGGAAATCGCACCCGTTCCTCCATTTCACCGATTTAGATGCAGCGCCACCTGGTGGCGTTTGAAAAAGGGACGAAAATTCCTCCCCCATGCTCCCGGCGGCAGCGGCGGTCGAACCGCCGCTACCGCCGCGAACATGTCCAATGGCGGTGACGGCAACTTGAGGGATTGTTTACCGTCACCTAGAGTAATCCCACTACTGCCCATGCGCGGTGCTAGGAGGGAAAAAGCGGAGCTGCGGGGGCTAGCGGAGGTACACTAATTGAACAAAAAAAAAACAAAAAAAAAACGGCGTGCGTCTTGCAAGAATCACGCCGTATGTGCCCGCTTCGAGATGGCGCTTATTCATTGTGGATGAAACCTTGCAGCTGCGATAAGTACAGGTGGCGACTTATCACTGGCATGGCAAGTACGACCGCTTTCGTCGCGTTAATTGCTACATGACAAGTAGACATAGTGACCCCGGAGTGAGGGAACAAAAAAAGGACGGACAGACACAAGCAAATAGGCAGGCGAACCTTAACAGGCTCGCCCGCCTATTTGCTTTGACTTTAGTAACAAGTAGGGCGCGCAAGAAATAATCGGCATAAGCGTTGATCTTTTTTTTTTTTTTTTTTTTTTTTTTTTTTGCTGAATCCCGTAGTTGCTAAGATCACTGCTCTATTCGAGTCGACACGTCGACACCTAGCCCCGTCACCTCCGCGAGAAACATATACTCTTGAAATAAAGCGTACGTACCATACAGCGAAAGGTAATCCGTGCGGCGTTTATTTCAGTTCTGTGTAAAACAGAACAGCATATCCAGTTGATAGGAACGAGCACTGCGTTGTGGCGAGCGACTTCGTCCGACACACGCTGTAGTCCGTCAACATCGGGATCACGACCGGCTTGCGGGGAAAGGCGATTTCTTTTCTTTTTTTTTTTAAACCTGAGCTCCGCACAAGAAAGGACGCTGAAATGACGATTCGGCGAAGGAACGAAGCAGCCGATCCGGGAAACAAGGTCAACCGTTCATTCGGGAAGAGTCCACTTGGAAGAGAGGGTAGTACAGACATTCCATTCTCGTTGCACGGCGAAGGGGGGGGGGGGGGGGGGGGGAGGAGGCCGGATCCGCGGTCTTGAAGGAACGGATGATCCACCACAACCAACGGTTCACCGCCGCTTTGTTAGTTTGTGCGGCATCTCCTGGTACTGTGTGCTGCATATCAAATAACGCACTCGCAACAAAAAAAAAGTAAAGTGAACAAATAATTCCGTCGCACTTTTGTTTTCTTTTATGCGGCCGACTTAGTCCCTCATCGCGCGGTTTCTCTCATGTCGCGAAACAAGCGCTGGCTGGCTGTAGTACACGACCAAGCCGACCCGGCGTCAACAATGTGGATCTCAAAACTACTCGTCGCGAGTATACTGGACGTACTTTTAAAAGAAGCAAGGATGAACATAAGCTTACTCGATAATAAATTAACGTTCTATTTAGATAGCGACATGAATAGAGTATTACTAACAATTGCTGTACAACCTTTTATTTTAGCTTTAGTGTCGGAAATAGTTGCATTGCGTTAGCTCTCGTAACGCTATTTTCTGCAACGGGTTGCAAACGTTCTTTAAAACATGAAAGCACGGCTCCGCTACGGTATCCATAGCAGAGGCCATACCCATAACGGGTTGCTTATAGAGTTGCGGAAGTGACTGAACGATCTAAAACTCTCAATACGGGCTTTTTAACTTCCTGACGGACTTGGGACAACGTGATGTTTTTAAGCGGTTGCGATACCAAAGTCATGGTTCGTGGGTCCTTATCGCTTGCAGCACTTACTTTTTATGATAAAAACGCTGCAGGTTAGAGAATTAAAACAATATTAAATTTCTCTAATACGGGTGACAAAGCATGACCCAAGATATGTCCTCTGCTCTTGCAACGAGTCTTGTTAAAGCCAGTAATATTTTTTGTTTTAAAAATTCATTGAAATTCTTGTGCAAAAATTAAAAATAGTTATTCCCCCGTCAAAACTTAAAATAGGTTACACTGGCACTGAACACTCCAATCAAGCAATAGCTCGGTGGCAAGTTTCAGCACCAGTGTACTGCATTTCAACACTGCATTGCCAACATGATCCTTCGAACCTATTAAAAAAATAATCATTAATTTTTACTTAATTAGCCTAATGATCTACATTTGCTTTGATCAGGGTGTTGAATTAAGAGATGGGAACTATTCCAAGAGACAATTGAAATAATGTATGAAGAACGAGTAATATTTGCTCCGTCTCTCCGTGTTTATGCGACAAATGATGGCAGTCACCGGCCAAATCGAATTCAAAGATAAGACTGCCATATATAGAAAGAGTGCAAACTTAGCGTACGTGGTGCAGGGTGGGGGTTCGGTGTCGCTGCGTTGTTGTGGGGTGTTCTGCTTGTGTTTCGTGTATTCTGTGTGTTCAGTGTTGTATGTGTATTTACCATGCAGCGGTCGAGGGTGTGGGACATTGGAAAACACATTGGCACTTCATCAACATTTTTTCTGTTTTGAGCGCCATCTGGTGGAAGCTATATGAATTACACGAGGGGAGAAAGTTTCCTCCATTGGGCGAAAAAAGATGGCGATTTTCCTGCCTTCTTAGGGGAGGAACGTTTTGTCCACGAGCAAAAATAGGTGGCAACTTTCCTCCCTTCCTAGGGGAGGAAAATTCCTCCCGTTTTGTAGGAGTAAATTTCCTCCCTTTGTAGAGCAATATATGATACACGCGAGTTCCTCCCTTAAGGGAGGAAGTACTACTCCCTTTTTTCTTAGAGTGTACAGGCTGGCAAGACCGGCAATCTTGTTGGCGTAAAATGCAGGTTGCGAAAGCAGTGTGGAAGCTTGCTTCAGCTCGCAATCTGCAGCCAGGGACTCAGCTACGGCCACCCATTGAACACCCCCACCCCCTTAACAAAACCTGTTATTTCACACAGCCGTAAAGAAGTTTGACTTTGATAATGTCAGTGTCCGTTAAGAAATCCTCAAGGTAGCCCTTGCCGAGAGTTGCGGGGTCAATATCGGCCGACTTGGGAATCAGCGTTGGAGTGGGCGGTGACTTGCTGAAAGCGTCTTGCGGGTAGTGCATCACAGACTCGTAGTCGTAGGGCTGACCCAGGGTGTCCGCGATCAGCTCTGTCTTCAGCTCGAAGCTTTTTCTGGCATCTACGGAAAAGATATTCACAAGTATTAAGTTTACGTCCTTCATTCGATTAAAAAACGAATCAATCGAGTCCTTTTATTTTAGTCTACTCCATACAGTTGTGCATTTATAATGCTCACACCTACTAATGGTGCGCAATGAAACAAAAGTGACAAAAAAAGCGTGCTATGAAATTATCTAAACTTTTTGTTGTTGTTGTTGTTGCTGTTGCGCATATTTTTTGTAGTCAGTGTCAGGTAAAGAACCCCACCAGACGTCTTGCCTTCAGCGCGAGCGTTCCACCCTTGGTTCCACGCGCTACCAGATCCAGGTGGTATGCTATTTGAATAAAACCTAAAACAGAGCACACTTCATATACGCGAGTAGACCGATCTCACCAAGCGTTCCACGCAAGCGTGACGCCGCCATAGCTGTAGTTCCTAGGAGGCACAGGCCAGTTTACGAGTCAGCTCGTGCCGCCTCGTGCTCTACACGCGCAGACCTCCAGCAGGGTTGTTGCGCGTGCAGAAAGACTACAGCTCGCACGATGCATGTCGGCAGCGGTGGCGTACCCAAACTAGCTGTGGGATCGGTCTTTTGGGAAATGTTTCAGGGCTACCTGACTAAAATGGTACCAGCGTGCCAGTCCCATACAAGAAAACGCAACGTGTCTGAGCGCAAACAAACGCACATGTTTGCCACAGCTGTTGCATCCATTGAAGTCAGCGCTCCGTCAACGCAGTTCGTATGGTGTTGGTTTATTGATGCGATGTATGGAGGGTGCAAGCCGGCCTTTATGATATCTTATCTGTGACTTCAAGACTGGAGATTGCCTCGCCGTGACATCACGAGTTGTAGTCCCGGCTACGTATGCGATCAGTTTCAAACAAGAAGTTCGACGGTGTGTGTAAAGCGCAATGGAAGCTTCGAATCGTAGCATTCTTAAACTAACACCGTCAAAGACGGCTGTCTGACATTACTCTTATTTCCGCCGATGAAAGCAAGATTAGGAAATTTAAGCAAACCGTTACCGTGCCCCGCGTACCGCACTACTGGAGCCGTCGAAGCATGCTTTTAAGCGCGCACCCCGCGGTCACGGTATCATTCGGGAGCGCGCTTCAAAGCTGGCATCAAAGGCTCCGGTAGTACGGTACGCAGAACAGGGTAACGGTTCGCTAAAAGTCCCTATTAAGTCAAATAAACACGTAATTTGAAAGTTCGGTCAATCGTGGAATGCTGACCGCAGCGACGCTTTTCATTGTGCACGTTGCCATTACTCACTTACAAGATAAGAATTACAGGAAAGTCTTTTAGTTGTCCTGTCTCTAATGAGAGCTTCGTACTTTCAATATCACTTCTGCGTCTTGTGAGCACCAAGTGTGCATGCGCAGATAAAGCATGACAGAAGGTCACGAGCATGTGCAAGATGATGTACATCCGAAAGGGTAGTCCTGAATATCTGGTCTTGTCAGTGATTATATAGGTGGGTGGAAGATGTTGCCGTACCTTCTTGGATGTTGCTCCACTGAACGGAGACGTAGCTGTCCCTGTCAGGTCGACTGTGTTCGTGGAAGAATCCGATGGCGTGCATTAGCTCGTGCACCACCTGGCCAACGTTAGGGCAGTGATACAGGTCCAGTGCCACGGCTTGCTCCTCGCCCTGCATGCCGACGAATGAGGCGCATCGGCCGCTGCGTTGCGCAAGAGAGACATCCGTAAGCTTCGTGGTTACACTGCCCTCGCGTAGACGATATAGAAATATATTAACAGAAAGTAAAAGTTCCCGTGCATAAGACATTACACAAAATCACGGGAATCCAAGCTAGGAAGAAATGAGGATAGATAAGCAATAGACCAAAGTCACAAAGGGAACTGCACAGGCGTGCACATTCCGGAAGTGGTGCCGCCGATATGCTACTTGTAGTCACCTCTTTCCGGCTTTCCAGCTGCATAAGGCTTTTAACGCGTGTACATCACCGTACATCATCGTTTGGAACGCCACGGTATCAGCTCGGATTCTCCTGTATCTCTGTACTTTATAAGATGGTGATGTTTGTGATACCTAAGTTTCTCAGCAAGCGCAGAAAAGCAGTTCCAGTAGTCTTATCTCTTTAGAATCGCTTTAGAACAGCGACGCCACTACTGTAGCATTACGGCTGCTCGGACGTCTCAATGAACTTGAAAACAAGGAAACATCTAGTTCAATGGCAAAAAACACAAAAATTTGAGGGACCATCGCCTCGGTGTAGCATCACGAAACACCGTCAAATGGGTCGGCGGAAGACTGAGTTTCGTAGAGCTCAGGCTTAACGTTTAATAGACAGTAAAATAAAAGTAGCCAATTAAACTTTCTCAGGGAGCTAATGGGGAGGAGATCGAACAGTCACGCCCCTAGCGGCATGCTTCAGCTGTGTGGGCAACAAACCGAATTTTCATGTTTGTTTTTGATCAGAGAAATGAAAGATGACGATTCGAAGGCTGCTCCTCGTGGGCCCAAAGCACTGGTCAAAGAGAGGCGCTCGTGCCCAGACCGTGCTAGACGAGGTTCAACTTTTTTGTTCTTCTGTGTTAGTAAACACCGAGCTGTGTGGACAACAAGCTCGATAAAGCGCCCCCTATAGTTCGATCTGCTGCCGAATAGCTCTTTTTAAAGTTATTTCTTCTTGGTTGACAGCCTGTGCGTCAAGGTACAGATGAAGTATGAGGAGGAGCCCTCCACATACAAAACAAAAACGCTCTACAGAAAAGCCATGCCTGCCGCGCCGTAACAACTCCCATCTCTTAAAAAAAGAAAAAAAAAAAAAGGAACCATGCCAGAAACCTGAAAACTTTTGGTGAAGATGAGTTCTTGTGTACAGTTTATATTCGGTTTTCTTTTGTTTGCTCAAGGTGCGAACGCAAATCGCCCGACGGCAGAAGCCTTTTTTTTTTTTCCTGCGGTTTTTATTGGTGTTAACGGAAATGTATCAGTAACGCCGGCCTATTAGACTACCACAAAGTGGGTGAAATTGAGGTTTGCTACCTTTTTGGCGGTAGTGTTGCACTTCTAAATTGCATTATGCGATGTCTTCAAGTTTTGTTTGAAAAAAACCTTTCACCCTTTCCACTCTGGTGAAAAGGAAGACCAGTGGAGCTGTACAATGGAAAGTAATGGCCGGCCGCAAGTCGGCAAGTCAGAATGTAAAGGCTGCCGACATCTATGAGCGACGGTGGCAATCAGATACATGGCTTGTCACTGTAATTCATAGATGGCGGTAACTGTCCAGAGTTTGGTGTCACAATTTCTCTGCTGGTGGACACTATCCTGGGGACACAAGCCCTTAACAGCTCCGTTGTAAATTTATGAAGACCCCGTTCGAAAAGAGTCGAAAAATGCAGTCTCGAACAGTAGAAAAGAGTCATTTGACTAAGCTTATTCAGGCGGCTGGGCAGCATTTGCATACACCCGGCTCACATTGATCAGGGTGAGAAAGTGAATAAAGCTTTGTTCTCTTCTCAATAAAAAAAAATAACATGTATCTGAAGTCTACCCCTAAACCGGGGCCGCACTGCCCATAGATCATACTTAAGCGGGTCTACAGGGCTGTGAAGCGCGTCCGTAGCGTGCGCAGTGCAGCTCTCTTCCAGGCAATACGAGAAGCCGCGCATGCGTCCACAGCCTAGCGCCTGAAGTTTTCGTAGAGTTATTACAATAAACGCTAGTGTGTTGTTGCATTTTGAAGCAGACAGCAAACAGTCTAAATTTGACTTCCGGTAATGCATTCTCATGGGAAAACGCAAATGCGTTTTCTCTTCGTGCTCGATTATAAGCCAATTTCGCTTAGTGTTGTGAAAATAAAAAGTTTGGATCGTTTTACATTCGGATGTACAAAAATATTTCTCAGAGGGTTTTTCTTTAGAATTAGAAACATGTATATTACGTGTTGAAGTTGCAGACTGCTATTATGGGGCACGTATTTACGTATATAGTGAATGCTTTGAAGCACACAGAGTGAACAAGTTTGACAAAAGTCCGAAAGGATGCTGATATATGCCAAATGAAACAGTCAAAACAGACAACAAGAACGAAGCATGGAGTTATGGAACGAAGAACGCCTACTGGATAAGTAACAAACTCTGCATTAGTAACAAACTGCCTTTCCGTCATCTAAATGCTATTGCATCATGAATAAACCCTACGCACTTTTTAATTGTTCTTTTAAACTGCAGCTCTTAGGCGCCCGTTTGCGGGTTGAGCAGCGTCAACGTCGCCGTCGGCGTAACCGCGCGTTGCATTATGGGACGTGTTACGTCACACGTGACGCAACGAGGGTTACCCTCGTGAGGGTAATCCCCGCGAGAGTGACGCTCACGAGGGTAACCCTCGTGGGGGTTACTCCTCGTGAGGGTTGCCCTCGTGAGCGTAACTCCTCAACTCCATGAGGTTACTTCTCAACCCCATGAGGGTAACGTAATCCCCGCGAGGGTTGCCCTCATGGGGGTTACGCGGGGTGAGGTTATTAACCCTCACGAGGGTAACCCTGATGGGGGTTTTCCATGAAAGTCACCCTCATGAGGATAACCCTCACGAGTGTTATCCTCACGAGGGTAACCCTCAACCCCGTGAGGGTAACATAACCCTCACGGGGGTAAACTTGACGGGGGTGACCGTCACGGAGGAAGCCCTCACGAGGGTAATCCTTACGAGGGGGTTAACGTCAAAACATTACCTTCGTGACGCCACGTGTGACGTCGTTATGGGAAACACGTGACACGTGTGACGTGACGTAGGACGTCACACGCGACGTCACGTGATGTCCACGCATATAACATTGTCAATACTCCCGCTAAATTTAGCGGGGAAAGAGCAGGTACATACCCTTCCGTCCGTACCCTCCCCTCCTCCTCCTCAAGAGCTGTCGTCCTATTCGGCGTTACAGAAAATTGTAAACGTCTTTCATGTTTTTTGCTTGAATTGATAGCTTGTGTTCACATATCACGCTGTACAACATAGCCCTGGGCTTCAATTCTTGCCAACTGAAACATCGCTCAGTAGTAAAAAAAAAAAAGATTAACTATATAAATTATACTTTTAGAATTAAAAGCAGCGAGAAAAGACGAGGACCAGACAAGGAAGTGACACGGACGTAGCGCTGCCGCGCGTTGAAGATAATACACTTTTATCGTGTGAATAAAGCTTCATAGTACCCGTCACGAGTAAAGAAACTACACTGATTTCTATTATTCCCTGGCGAAGAGCAAAACATCAGGTACGTTTTCCCATAGCAATACACAGGAAGACTGCAAAAGTACACTGCTTGCTGTCTGCTTCAATCTGCAACAGGAAGTCCCGTAGACACTAGCGGCAGCTGAGCCTTTAGCGTGTATTCTATTAACTCTATAGAATTTTTCGCCTGAGCGATAAGCGCTTGAAAGCTCTATAAAAATCAAAAACACGCAAAAATAAAAAAATGGTGGACGCAGTGAATTTGCGTTTTCGTCTCTCTTTGGTTAGCTGGTCGGCTCCTAGCGTTGATTAAAGCCGGGGTAACACCGCTTATACATGATACAAGAGACAGTATGGATACCTATTCGAACGTGAGTCACCACGAGATCCGTGCTTCAAATGCCTCATGGCAACAAGTTTAAGGAGAGAACTTGGCAGGTGACATTCGAACCACGGATATTGTGGTGACTCGCGTTTCCAGACTGCATCTTGTATTATACCAACTGGCAGCAGTGTCGGTCCATCGGCGACTGTGCAAGAGTTCCTACCTTCTAACAATCAGCGCGTGACTTTTGAAAGAGGTGCATAAAGAAGGACTCGATTGTTTGCACCGTCTCAAGTTTTTTCTCTTTTTGTCGGCGTTCTGACTGCGAGTTGAGTGCATGGGCACGGTGTAAGATAATAACCTTCAGGCACGGCCACTCGATCCCCCCTGTTGGTGCGGCCTGCCGATGTTTTTCCGAAAACAAAAGGGCGCGCGTGAGAGGAGAACTTCTCCCATTCTCCGTGGGGGCGCTGCATATCGGTGAGCGGTTAGTGAGCGGTCTTGTGAGCTGAAAGCTACTTTGCTTCACCCTATGTTGTACCGCAGGAAAGGCTGTAGGCGCGAGCTCCTTGCTCTGGAGCATATCTCGGCGGCACAAGCTCTCGCGCAGTGAGGGCAGCTGTGAACGCTATGAGCTCGCGCTTCCAGCCTTCGCTGCGGTACAACATAAGGTGAAACGGAGTATAGAGAAGGCGCCCAACACGCTCTTGCTCCGCTACCCAGATGACATATCTGCCCGTCATTGGCTTCGCCGATACCAAGGCGCTGCCGCGGTTGCAGAAGGCAGCAAAAATCGCTTCCCCCCCCCCCCCCCCCCCCCCATGCACCGCTGAGCTCGGCGAAAATATCGTAGTGTAACTTAGCGCTCGCGTGTGTGGTTTGTGTTGGCATTTTGGAAGCTGCCGGAAATGTAAATGCGCGTTCTAGTTCTGAGTGCCAGACGGCGATGAACTCCACTCGTGAGACAGGAAATCCTGCAGTTGATGAAGTACAATGAAGTCTCTTCCGAACTTGAGTTCGCACCGCTGGCTTACATGGCTGGCTACTTGGCCTTCGTGTGAAATTGTCGTAATTTCAAAGTAATTAGCTGAAACATTCAACCTAGCAAAGCAATAAGAATTGCTCAGTGAAAGCAAAGAAGGCTAATGTGTAGATCCCGCGAAACTTTGCAGGTGACGTGTCCTGAATGCAAGCGCAACTTAAAGGGATACTACAACGAAATTTCGGCGCTCATTTTTTGGTCTATATGTGTTCAAAAAAGCACCATCAAATCGAACATACCAATATCTTGTTAAAAAAGTCACGAAAAGGAATTTTAAAACGAATTAAACGATTAGCAAAGAGCACCTGGTGGATGTCGCTAACGCCTCGCTTGTAATGCCCGTCTAGCAACCTTGGCAGCTAGTGACGGAGGTTGTCTCACCTGCGGCCACGACGAGAGAAGAGGGGCAGGAGGAACTCCCTTCTTCCCGAGAATGCCTTTTGTGTGTCACAGAAGTCGCTATTGTCCCCCTACAAGATTATAGAAGATTAACCCGTCACTCAAAATTTGTACAAAAGCAGCCGCTTCTGTGGCTTGAATGACTAGGCCATCCTCTTGACGTCAGCCTCGCCGTAGCTTTGCTCGTCTTGAGACGACCTACGTCACGATTGCGTTGGATGTCACGTGGTCTCCGCTGGGCCTTCTCCGAGCGCTTGCCAGAGTGGGCCGTTTATAACGAAAAATACAGCCACCAGGCTCAAAATACAAACGTGCCATTGTCATTTACGGATATTGTAGATTATATTCAACCTATTTTTGAACACGACGGGAATATTTCAAATTTCGTTGAAGTATCCTTTTAAGGGAAAGGCATCACATGACGGAGCATATCAGTCCATGTTTAGCCTTGATCAAGGAGGACTCGGCTATCCACGACCTGAAGCTGTCTGGCTGTGCAAGCTCGTCTGCACCTTTGTCGAGAGGGCTCTACAGTCGGCAGAGATTCGTGGTTGTGGAAGGATTTGCAAGGTCCTCTCGAGTGCTGTGCTTCCACACCTTATGGACTGCCCGCTGATGTTGTGTGTTAACTGACGAGACCCCTACCACAGCGAAAAGCTCTGCGAGCTCTTTCTCAAAAAACTCCTCAGGGCTTTTTTGGCAAACTGGGCTGGTGACCTAAACAGCCCACGAGAGAATATATTGAGGCTTTCGCGGAAGCCTCTTTCCCGAAAGGTACTCCGCTTGTGAACTATATGACTCCCTTGGTCTGTTTTTTGTGAACAGTGAAGTTTATATTGCTGAAGTTATGCACGCGGAATCCGATTTTATATTGTCCTTCACAGATGAATGAATGTCACAGCTCGCGCGTGCTCGAGCGTTGGCTAAAAGCGGAAATCATACGGCCCAGCTATATCCAACTATAACTCCTATATTACAGTGGTAATAGAAACGGGGCAACAGTTACGGGAACAAGGAAACGACAATTCGCTCATACTGCCAGCAGAATGCAGCTTTAGCGCGCATCCTGCAGCTGAGTGAGCTTTTCGCAGAAAGAATCATGTATTTTTATTCTACACAGATTTGTCACACATCATTCATGCAATCTGGCACTCGTTTCCATTGAGAATTCCGGCTTCACGAAAAAAAAATCTAAATAGGCACACCGCGCCGGGCCGGCCGTACTGCTCCTCTCTCACTATATTTCGGCTTACCTTAGCACGGACTAACCGTGAATGCTGTGCTAGCGCGAGCGGCTAGCCTTTACTGCCTTGACAGGAGCACTCGCTGCACGAGCGCTCATGCAGCCGCCGAGGCTTCCTTCGAAGCAACTATCACGCGCTTTTAGCACGCGCTGCTAACAAATACATACTAACGTGAAACGAAGTACTGTAGAGTTCCTCGATATGCTCCCCCGAAAGGAACTCTATCCCTCACCGATAACGAGCGCCACGGCTGGCGCTGCGGGGTAAAGTAGAACTATCGCTCTCACCGGCGGAGTGAGGCATACGGCAGGCCGCTCCCAAAGGGAGTCCTAATCGAGTGGCCGTGCTTCAGGTGAGGACAGTGCGCTCCTCGTCGCTTTTCACTCTCCCTCTTTCTCTCTCTCATTATGGTTTCAAGCGGCGCCGGCAGATGACTCGTCGACACGTGGGCACGGTGCAAGACGCAGGAGTACAGTGTTCTAGAGGGGGTTGTAGTGGCAAGAGCGGCGGCCGCTTTGTGAAGATTTTGCGCGTAGACGACACCATGGCGCTGCTGTTCTGTGCCCTAGGAGCGCGCCCCCGTCAGCCCCATCATCAGCGCTGTTCGGCGCTTAGTACCGTGGTTGGACTGGAGCATTCCGCGGTGCGAAACAACTGCTAATGTTGTTCTGTAGTAAATTGTAGTTCTGCCTTTGGACTAATGCCTCTAGAGTGTGTGCTATCCTCTACTTGAAATATTTGCGTGTTTTGAGGGAGATTATTTAATTAATATCGACCCCCCCCCCCAGTACTGACACATCGTTCAGCAACGCTATCACTTGTGCTGCAGGCTTAATAGCTGCGAAAGAAGTGTTACGGCGCTACATTTTGGAGAAGCGTACCGCGTCACCCTCATCGTCTTCTTCGTTCATCGCACACGTGCCATTAATTCTCCTAGGGCACAGAACTCCAGCGCCACTCGCGGTATCTACGTCGACCGTCTTCACGCGCTTCATTGTAAGCGGGCGCCGCTCTTGCCACTACACCCTCTAGAACACTGTACGCAGGAGGCAGGCAGCAGTGCACAAGACGGCTCGTGCCGCCTCATGCTCCACACACGCAGAGCTCCAGCGAGGTTGTCGCACGTGCAGAAAGACCATGGTCACCGTGACCATGGTGTACGGGGGTGTCATGGCAACGAGATAATTTATTTCGGTCTCACACAGTTTCGTCGTTTGGCCGCCAGCGAGACTGTCAGCCGCGGGCACGGTGGCCGCGGAATGATGCAGCCTTTCGGATGCCCGTCTCCTCGCGCCGCGCATTCAACCCCGCCGTGTCCTCAAACTAAAGAGTGTATCTTACACCGTGGTACATGGGTGAACGCTTGTCGGTTTTCTTTAATTTCTGTGGCGACTTCTATTGCGTGTGGAGAAAAAAAAGAACGCGTGTTTCATAGGTGATTAACGTCAAGGATTTCTTTTAAGCGGTATTTGCGCAAAGCACACAAATCGTTACATCGCCCCTTTGAATATCGTCACTACAGGGATCGAAAACCTTGAAGACGAAATCCTGGGAATCGCAGTGCTGACGATGCTACCCCCACAACTTCGTAATCAAGTTTGGCGAAAAAGAGACTGAAAGAAAACGTCCGCATTTTTCTTCGAATTTACGTGGCGACATTGCAGCTTTTTGGTCAGTGGCATTGCGTGCTATTGTACTTGAGTCCCACTAGAGTTAGGAAGCCTCTGTAAAATAAGAAACATTCCGACCTAGCACCATAACAAGCCCCCTTTAAATAAGAAATCTTAGTTAATTATTCGAATTAGCGTGACGATTAGCCTTCTATTTCTTGTCTCTGTGGCCGTGTAACTCACCTGTACAGACCGCATTAATGTAACTTTCACGACTTAAAAAAAGAAAAAAAAAATCTGTAAAGTTTAAAATAAAACATTCGGCCCCTCGTTTCCGGGTGAAACTTCATGTTTCCAGATATTTACACCTGAACACGTTTTTTTGAAAATCAGGAAAAACCCAATTTCTCCCCAGATACATAAAAGCAATTTCACGACCTTTCAGGATTACACTGTTCCAACATAATCTAGAGTTCGTAGGAGCACGTACGTTAGCTCCAGAACTCAGAAACAACGCTAGACCTTGTTGGCTTTATTAAACTGCAGTGACAAATCGAGCCCGGGAATGTCCTTTTTATGTTCATTGCGAATAATCTTTTGGCTTCCGTTTCCATTGTGAGTAGCACAGAAATAAAGAAGGATGAACAATTTTGTTTCGAAAGGAGCAGTCGATGCCATTTACAGTGCTGTACATTGAAAATTAAAGCTGATGTTGAGAAAGCGTTCTCTCAATTGAATGTCCGAAACCCGGACAGGTCTTGGATGTAGACAGAGGTGCCGCGCATGAAGACTATTTTTTAACTAACATGAAGTTACAGAAAACAATTTAAAATATGAAGTCTTCTGCTATTTTATAATGCCGTCTTGTGTATCTTGATGACATGGTCGTGAAAAAAAAATATACTTAAACTGATCAATACTCTTCATTGTTAATTATACTCGCTTATTTGAAAATAAAATCGAAAATGCCTAATTGAACAATGTATAGAAAAAAATCAGATTTCTCTCGAATACCAACTTGGAACAAAGAGAACCATTTTTACCCCCTGATTTTTGAAAAATATAGCTCCTACGCTAAGCGAAGGGCCATAAGAATATGACGTTGAATGTCAGAGCTGAATGTGGACATCCTGGCGGAACTTCCTTTTGGCATCAGAAAAAGCTCCCTCCAATAAAGCAAAAATGCGAACCTGTAATCTGGAGTAGTCTTGGTTGTCTTAGCTTTCCCCAGATGACGAACCCATTTAAGGATATGGCGTTGAGGTTTACTTACGGTCTGGGCGCAATCAAAACGTAATTTTCTTCGTCTGTCCTCTCGATGAATTTTACGCACGTTTTTGACTGCAGCAGCTTAATGCCATCGAGGATGACTTTTCTGTCCATATCTGAATCTAGAGAGAGAGAGGGGGGAGGGGGCGATTGATGAGGAAACAAGAAGTAGTGAGTAAGACAAAGTATGAAATGATAAAAACGTGCCACTCTGTGTGTGCACTCAGGCAGTTGTACGGGCACTCCTTAAGAAGCGTCCGTCATCTTTAGAAAGATGACGGAGTGGTGTATCTGCTGTAGTTGAGATATTTAGCCACTGCAATACGACTGATAGCCTGGAGCCTTTAACCTGCATCATGCAGTAACGATACACAACCGGACGCCGGTACGATGTCCAGACGCAGCCGACACTACAAGCTGATGAGATCAATCAGGCAGCGTCAAAAGTGCACCATCATGGTGTTCCTAATGTATACGTACGTACTATCGCGGACAATATAAGCTGAAACAGCGCTCCGGCCTGTGCACGGTACCACCTGCGCCGCCTGTCGCATCGCTCCCTAAACACGGCGCACCCTGAGGCCGAGATAAATTATCACTTGCGCTCACTGCGCCACTGCGCTCTTCCGGCCGTCTGCTAGCCCAATGTTCACGTTTTCAGCTAACATGCATTTCAGTGCATTTCAAGAAAGCGCCCAAGTGGAAAATGCGCCGTCACGCTCGTATCTCCTCGAGGAGCGCTGCCTAACGAAGCTGCCTTGGCCCCCAAAAGGAGCCGATCTGAATATCATCGAAAACATTTGGAGGCGCATCAAGGTAGCTATGTCACGGCGTCCCTTCCACCGCGCCACTGCCTACAAATTGTGGAAAGCAATGCGAGGTGAATGGGAGTGGCTTCGAGGCTGAGCCAGACTTCGTAGCCGCTTTCTATGATTTCTTACCAGACAGAATGAGAGCCGTGGTCGAGGGTCAGGGGAGAATGACGCGGTATTAAATTATTTTGCAAGTTTTACTGCGCCTCAGAACCCCCCTGAACTGGACTTCTGCCGATTGGAACAAAGCTTGATGCTATGGTTGCGACACAGTGTTTGACGCCGTGAACCACACACACTTTTGAGCGTTGCCTCCTTCATCCCGATCTTCTTGTATAGTGCAGTTGAACTTCCACGCCGACTATTAATCTTTTGTGTTTGACAATGTTTTCTGCAAATATTCTTTCGATTAAGTTTCAATCTTCTTCTTTTGGCAAATATATGACTGTGTGTCATATATTTATGTCTTGTCAGCAACTTGTTTTGCTTGAAACAAAGACGTGGGCCTAGTAATAAAGAAATAATGTTTTTGAACCTTTTCATACTAATCATGGTTACAAAACCTTCTCAGTAACATGTATGCTTACCGTTTTTGGAACATACGTGATCAGTGAAACAGAAAAAAAAAACAATAAATACATTGGAGCCGGACTAAATCCGGCATACAAATTTTGGCCGATATTAATTACGATGTCCCACTTTGTGCATGCACCTATAATAAAAAAAAAAAAAAAAAAAAAACCAGCAACGTATTTTATATGACTTTCAAAAACGGTAATCGCAGTTGAAATTGAAAACACTTCAATATTTTTTCCTTCACCAGCCAGCGTTTCTTCTCCGGGATCTCACGCGATAGAGTAAGGTAAATCAATACCAAAAGGGGAACGACAAGTGTAATCTTTTGTTCCCCCCGCCGCCCCACCACATATGCCTGCTGTCGCACCCACCGCCTCGCTTGCAGACAGTCGAAAGAGCGCAGTGGCGCAGCGAGCGCAAGTGAGAAAATATCTCGGACTCACGGTGCGCCATGTGTGCGGAGCAAGGCGACAGGCGGCGCAGGTGGTACCGTGGGCCGGCCGGAGCGCAGTTTCAGCTCATATTGTCCGCAATAGTACGTGTTCTGTTCTATTATCGCCGAACCAATCAAAAACAAAATACAGAGCGACTTGCGCTTTAGACTTTGCTTGATTGGTACCGTTACCTCGTAATTACAGGCAGCGCCACTGCGTCCAGGGGGCGCCACTATGCCGAGGAGGCAACACTGTGCCTGGGAAACGTGGGGGCGTTAACCCCGGCCAAGGAGACATGATAAAGGACAGCGGCGACGGCTACCGGAGGGGAGAACCGGGGCCTGGTTTTAGACGGTACAAGCTGCTGCGGTGTCGACCGTTTAATAAATACGAACTTCCCGTTCGCACCTTACTAATAAATGTAGTTTCTCGTTTTCCGAAATCCTAGCTCCGTGATGTTTCTTTGCGTTGGGCACGCAGCAAGGCAACTTTCCCACAACCCTTAAGCTGAGACTAGGAGCTCTACCTTTAGCGCGAGCTCGTTGGCTTCCGCAGTGCTTTGGTTGCACGTGCCTGCGCGTTCACACTTGTGTTAGCAAAAGCAGAAAGGTGGCGCTGTAGGGCGGAGCTTCTAGTCTTAGTTTAACGCTGGCTGGCTGGCTGGGCGCCATGGCGAACGGTCACGTTTTGAAGTGCGTGCGCTTGTTTATGCTTTGGTTTGCGCTGTCAACGCTTCGGTACTCTTCGCCTGCGGCGCTCTTTCCACGCAAACACCTCGCGACGCAACATGACCATCGTCAAGCATATTTCGATCGTCTGGAGTGGAGCACAGCGGCGGCACTCACTCGCTGATTTGCTAAGCCTACCCGCTTCAGCCCGAACCCGTCACCGGCGAAGAACCGGACGTACTGCCGCCCGACCTCCGTCCTTCAACCTCATGTGTGCTTTATTCTGCTCTGTGCTGGCGATGTACCGCTCAACCCGGGACCGTGTCCTACTTGTCCTCGCTGCTGCAAGCCGCTCTACGACAGCGTGGCGGCGTTACAATGCGACGGGTGCAACATCTGGGTCCACAGGAAATGGGAGCAGCTCTCACTGCCTACCTATCGGCGTCTGTCGAACTGCACAGAACCATGGCACTGCGGCGTGTGCCAGCTGCCATCGTTGGACGACAGCCTTTTCGAAGCGCCGAAGCAGCCTGCACTAACGACGATTGCATCACCTACCACAGCCGGGGACAGACCAACGGCTCCCGGTACCACGGAAACAAGGAAAACAACCTCCTTCTGGTTCTCCAACCTCAGGTCCGTGAAGAACAAAATGCTGGAGTTCCGGGTGCTCACTGAGTCCCGCCCCAACACCATATTCGCCTTGTGTGAGACTTGGCTGGACAACTCCATTTACGACAGCCAGCTCGTCGACCTGACACGGTTTAAAGTCTACAGGAAAGATTGTAACTGGTGGTGGAGTTCTCGTCGCCATACCGTCGTCAATCACATGCACTAGAAGACACGACCTAGACCGGAACGACCTCGAGGCCATTTTTGTGGACCTTCATTCAAAACAGGGCCTTCTACATCTCTGTGTTGCGTACTGTCCCCCCAGCAAGAAAACAGAAAGCTACGATTTGTTACAGTCGTCGCTGTCCTCCGTTACCCTCTCAAAGAAGTACTCCAACGTGCTAGTTGTCGGAGACTTCAATGCGCACATTAATTGGTCAGACTTAAGCTCTCCCAGCCCACAGGACCATCTGACACTGTCCTCCTCGACCACATAGAAACACTTGGACTTACCCAAGTATACAGCGAGCCAACTTACGTCACCACCAATAACCAAGTTTCTTTCCTCGACCTCATGTTCGTCTCTAACCCCACACTCGTCTCAAATTGTTTCACAGAACCCAGCCTCACGGGCTCTGACCACAAAGCATTGACTGCGACCACATACCATCATTTGCCTAAATCCGGACCTCATGCCAGACGCCTCCATAACTTTGCAAGATTGGACACCAACCACCTGAATTCGCTTATACTCCTCGCCCCTTGGGGCATGGTGTTCCAAGACAACCATGAAGACCCATATGACATATGGCTCGACTTTATGCACGCCATCGAAGCTGAATGCGCCCCCTCCAGAAAAAGCCGAAACAAACCCCGAGCGCCCTGGATAACAAAGGAGATACTGCTCCAAGCCCGACGGAAGCGTCAGCTGTTCGCACAAGCAAAGCGAAACAGCTGTCCCTTTACACTTGAGGCAGCCCGCACCCTCCAGAGAAACCTGAAAAAACAGATAAGAAAGTCTCACCAAGATTATGTTTTGGACATGGCACAACGGGCTGTAAGGGATCCAAAGATATTTTGGGCCTATGTAAGGCGTAACAAACAGAACACGTCTGCTCTAAACATATGCCAGGACGGCAAGGCTCTGAGCGACTTGAAGACTGCGGAACTTTTTAGCAAGCACTTCGCCGCAGCATGGACACCACCCTGCAGCCTCTCATCACAACCAGAAACTTGCCCATCATCATCGCAGTCGGCCTCCTCGCCCCGCTTAGCCAGTATCCTTATCAACGAGGATGATGTCAAGGAGGCTCTCACCCGACTGAGTCCTTCACAGTCGCCCGGTCCTGACGGCATTTACCCTGCGCTCCTTAAAGCATCTGGTCAACAACTGGCCCCATTACTGGCCCGACTGTTCCAGCAGCTCTTGGACACTGGGTGCGTCTCCGCCCCATGGAAGCAGGCTTATGTCACTCCCATCTACAAAGGGAATGGATCCCCAGCAGACAAGCCAGAATCCTACAGACCAATCTCAACAACATCAGTCGTCTGCCGTACCATGGAGCGAGTGTTAAACTCTGCGCTACACAGATACTTAAACGCCCACACTCTTCTGTCTCCAGCGCAGCATGGCTTTCGCCCTGGTCGAAGCTGTGAAACTGCCCTGCTCACTGCTGTTCACCAGATCAGTGACAGCCTGGACAACTCCACGCCATGCGAGCTGGTACAGCTCGACTTTACCAAAGCGTTTGATAAAGTAGACCACAAGCTCCTGATAACCAAACTGGAAAGCACCGGTATCGAGGGTCCCCTCCTTCGCTGGCTATCTCACTTCATCCTGCGGAGACAACAAAGTGTGACGTTCCACGGGTCAAGGTCCCAATCCCGAACCGTTCAATCTGGAATCCCCCAAGGCACAGTACTTGGTCCAACCCTCTTTTCAATCTTTATCAACGATATCGTCCAGGTTATAGACTCCGCCACCATCATGTATGCAGATGATCTCACCCTCTGTAGGGAT